ACCTTCTCAATTTGCTCCTGGTAGGATTTGAAAATACCAAATCTTCATTAGTCCATAGACTCTTAATAGGTTTTTTCTTTAAATATATTTATTTAATGAATCTAAGTTTTTTCAAAATCAACACTAATTACTAATAATCTAATTATACATCACATATTAAAAAAATAATGCATTTATGTTTATATACATTAGGGAGTGTATATATATATATACACAATTACATATCAAAATATAAATAAAATATATATAATTATAGGTTGGACTTTAATCAGACTGAGCCTATAGAGGCCCAATCTCGGCTAACAACATTTTAATTGGACGTTAAATCAAGATTTAAATTTTGCCCGCTACATAATTATACTAGGCTCGACCCCTTTTCTTTCAGGTCAAATAGGCTGAGGTCGGACCAGTTCAATCCTATTGACAGCCCTACCCACATGTACGGATTGAAAAAGTATCCACGTGACTCAAAATCTTTACTATACTAAAGGTGGAAGTTGGGATTGCTACAGTGTAAATGGGCTGGTTATAGTGCGATTTGTGTGAACTTGAGGGGCGGTTTGGTCTTGTGCCATTCAGTGGTAGTGGCTTTGCTGGAAATTTGTTGCTATCCACGTGGAGTTGTTGTGGGTGGTGAGTTCGCTGTTATCAGCTGTCTGCATGGCTTTCGATTCGCTGGTGTCCGCATGGTGGCTTTGTTTCCATCCGTTCCATTCTGCTCGTACCCCACGTGCTGTCCTCAAATAGGGACATGCTTAGCGGTGGATTATGGTACGGTGCAAGAACCGCTGCTAGAAAGCTTGGCAATTTCCATTACCCTCTCATTCTTTTCTTAGCTTTCTTTGCCGGTTGCTTTTTTTTTTCCTTTGTCTCTTCCTACTGAATTGCCTCCTACACCATGTCTTTCTTCATAGTTGAATCTAAGTGTTCTGGAAAGAGTGCAAGAATAGCTGCACGAAGGCTTTGCAATCTCATTACTGTGTCTCGTATGTTTCTTAGCCTGTGCAAAACCAAATCTTCAATTTTCCTGTGATCAGCAAAGTTTGGAATACCAACCTCGTCAGTTTTGTTTGCCATATACCCATCTTATATCCATCTCCTCCGCCAAGGGCAATTTTATTTTGTTAATTCGGTCGCGTTTTTATTTTTCATATACCTATCTTATATCTAATTCCCTCCACCAAGGCCAATTTGATTTTGTTGATTCAATCCCTTTCTCTGGATCCTGTGAGACTTAATGCCCACTAGTCTCGGTTTTGGGACTCTCTCCTAATCTTCGGTACTTTGAACTGGTCTTGTGTTAGATATAAGGTATAATTGGTCTTGTATTATTCTGCTATTGTTGATTGTCATGCATGTCTGTTCTCTAATCATTGAGGTTTATATAGAGGTTTATATAAATTAGAATCTGACTGGTATTTTATATGCTGTACTTCGGCTCCTTTCCTTTCAATTCTTATGGAGCCTGCGCATTGGAGTAAGCTTTGTTTGTGGTTCTGTGAATCAAAAGTTATGGTACTACTCTTATTGAAACCTTCTTACTTGTGTATAGCTGAGTTTCTTTAATGGGTCGTCCACGGAAATATGTAAGCTTGGAAGAAGCGACTAGAGAGAGGAATGCGAGGAGACGACAGCAGCGTGCTAGTGACAGTTCTAGAGAATACCGAGGTGTGTGCTATGGTTATAGATATACGTAGCACACGTGAGCTGTGCATAATACGAATACTATGTTATATTAATTCATGTATTAGTTATCTTGGAGTATTTAGCATATATCACTCTTTCCTGATAATGCTTCTGTTCTGCTGATTTGTCGAGGTTTCAGAAAATTACGATTGGTATGAGAAATGCTGGACTTTAGATGTATTGATAATGCTAATACAAAGATTAGTGAAATATTTATTCCTTAGATACTGCTGCTAGAACAAGACTTTCTGTACCTATCGAGCAACCTTCCAGCGGCCCTTCATATGTGGAATTGAGATATAAGAGTATGGTCAGTATCGATACTGAAGGAGTAAACAATAGAGATGGACATCATGTTTGATCGATCTGTTCGCATTCAAATGGTAGTTCTATCAGTCATGCAAGTAACAAAAGAACAAGACAAGATTGTGTAGAAACATCAGTTAGACGAATGCATGAATATGTAGAAGAAACGCACGTAGAATCAACAGCTTTGCCATCGACTTCTAACAGTAGTATTGCTGGTTATTCAAGAGATGCATGCTCAGGGCCTATCATTGCCGGCGGTAGTGTTTTGTCTACACCAACAAGCAAAAAGTGTAGATCAGTTCGACGAAGTGATGCAAGGCAGGAACAACGTAAGATGTTGGCAACGGATCCATTAAGCGTCGTCGCCACTGAGCCTGATATATTACCAAATATTCCGGATTGCCAACATTGTAAAGCAAAGAAATTTCAGTTTGAACCACCTGGATTTTGCTGTTCTTTTGGTGAAACCCAATTACTTCCTACTAAAATGCCAAGAGAATTGATGATGTTGTATCTTGAGGATTCTGAAGAAGCTATTGAATTCCGCAGATGTGTTAGAAGTTATAATAACATGTTTGCATTCATGTCTATTGGAGTGAACTGTGACAAATCATTAAATGAGTCTTATAATGGAATATACACCTTTAGAATTCAAGGTCAAATGTACCACTTTATAAATCAGTTAATCCCTAATGATGGCGAAAAGGCAAGGAATGTGCAGTTATATTTTTTTGATACTGATCATGAAACGGTAAATCGGTTATCCATCTCTAATAGATTTCAGCAGAGCCTAATTACTAAACTTGAAGGGATCTTGAAGATTAATCCTTATTCGACGTTTTTCCGAGGCTTACAAAATCTACCAAACATAGATAATTATAAAATAGTACTGCAATCTAGCCCTGCAATTGATCAAAAAGTATTCAATAAACCAACTGTATCTCAAGTTGGTGCTATTTGAACAGATAATTGTGATAATGAGCATGTGACGTCAAAACATATTCAGATTTATGGAAAAAATGGAAAAACTCAGATTATGAAGCATTACTTTAGTTGTTATGATCCCTTACAATACCCACTCATTTTTGCCAGTGCTGAACTAGGTTGGCATCAGAGTATAAAACGCATTGCTCGAACTCCAAATGTGCATGGGGCAGCTTCTTGTGAGGAAGAAGTTGAGCTAGCTCCCGGTGCTGGAACTACACCAGATCAATTAATGAATGCTGAGAATTCGGGTAATTAGCTCCATGCTATTGCATATCGGGAGACTGCTACAACAGTACATTGTAGATATGTATGTGAAAATCGAATTAACAAGGTTAGATTTCTATAGGCTGAATGGCAATCAGACACAGCTTCGAACGGAGTTATATCAAAGTCTTATAGATAGTCTCTCACAAGGAGAATCTTCATCTTCCAATATTGGAACACGGATAATTCTTCCAGGATCATTCATTGGAGGCTCTCGTGATATGAGGCGTCGCTACATGGATGCAATGTCGTTAGTCCAACGATATGGAAAACCAGACATTTTTTTAACAATAACTTGTAATCGAAATTGGCCTGAAATTAAAAATTTACTTCTTAAACTGATAAGGTTGAGAATCGCCTGGATTTAGTTTCCCATGTATTCAGAGCAAAATTAGAGCAATTAAAAAATGAACTTTTCAAGAAAAATATTTTTAGAAAAATAGCAGCGTATACCGTATGTTATTGAATTTGAAAAACGAGGTCTTCCTTATGCCCACTTCTTAATTATTCTAAAGCAGGGGAGTAAGATGTATTCTCCTAAAACTTATAATCGAATTGTTTGTGTCGAGTTACCTGATATCGATGAGCGCGAATATTTACATACTCTTGTTGTTAAACACATGATGCATGGTCCTTGTGGTACTATGAATCCCGCGTGTGCATGTTGGTTGCAAAGACTGATATCCCAAACAATTCTGTGTGTCAACGATACATACAACCAACTCATATCTGCTATACCATCGTCGAAATGACAAGAAGAAAGTTAAGGTACGTGGCCATTATCTGGATAATCGTTGGGTAGTGCCTTATTGTCCTTACCTCTTAGTAAAATTTAATTGTCATATTAATGTTGAAATATGCTCCACGATTCAAGCTGTCAAATATATATACAAGTATATATACAAAGGACATGATAGGGTTTTGTATCAATTGAGTGACATTGAGACAAATAACAATGTGGATGAAATAAAAAATTATGTTGCAGTGAGATGGGTATCCCCTCCCGAAGCAATGTGGCGAATTTTTGGTTTCGATTTGAATCAAATACATCCATCTGTCATGACCTTACAAGTACATTTGGAAAACAAACAGCCAGTACATTTCCAGAAAAAAGCTCACTTCATAGTGTTGTAAAAAATCAAGCTTTACAGAAAACCATGCTAACAGAATTCTTTTCCATGAACAAGTATGACAACTATGCAAAGAATTTGAATTGTGTGTACGCACAATTTCCTGAATACTTCAGATGGAATCAACAATCAAAAATTTGGGAACAACACAAGCAAAGGGAAGTCATTGGCCGTATTTTAGGTGCACATCCATCAGAAGGAGAAAGATATTATTTACGAATTTTGTTGATGCATGTGAGGAAGCCAACTTCATTTACAGATTTAAGAACTGTAAATGGACGTGTTTGTGTTTCATTCCATGAAGCTGCGGATATAATGGGACTATTACAAACAGATAATGCAGCCGAGCTGTGTTTATCCGAAGCAGTTGCCTACCAAATGCCCAATTCATTGCGCCAATTATTTGCTGCTATCTTAGTTTATTGCAGCCCAAAGAACCCTGCTCAACTATGGCTACAATTTTAAGACTTCCTATCTAAAGATATAAAACGAGATTCTTCAATCCCAACTCATCTTGTAGAAGTGAAAGTACTACAATGCATTGACAACTACTTACAATCAATGGGAAAGAGTTTAGCTGATTATCAGTTGAACACACCACTAATCCAACAATCCCAACAAGAAATGGTAACAAGAGATATAGAAACTGAAAGGAATATAATTGTAGATGAGAGTGACCTTCAAGCAATTGATCAACTGAACGATGATCAGAGAAATGCCTATGAACAGATTTTAAATGCTGTTACACGTAATACCTCAACATCATTTTTCGTGGATGGACCAGGAGGTACGGGGAAAACATTTCTATATCGAGCCCTTCTTGCAAAAATAAGATCGGTTGGTGGCATAGCACTTGCAACTGCAACTTCGGGTATTGCAGCTTCAATCTTGCCTGGAGGCCGTACTGCACACTCGCGATTTAAAATACCCCTGTATGATGATGATTCCAAGAGCTGCCATGTTGGAAAACAAACTACAATTGCACAGTTGATTAGAGATGCAAAGCTTATTATCTGGGATGAGGCAAGTATGGCAAAACGAAAATCAATCGAACGGTTTGATGAAATGATGAGAGATATCACTGGTCGCGACCTGTTATTTGGTGGTAAAACTGTGGTTTTCGAAGGAGATTTCCGCCAAACATTACCAGTTGTGACAAAAGGCAATAAGGAAGATATTATTAGTGCAAGCTTGGTCATGTCACCTATATGGCAACAACTAACAAAGCTAAGGCTAAAGGAAAATATGCGAGTTCGTTCGAATAAGAACTTCAGCAATTTTCTACTTCGAATTGGTGATGGTACAGAAATATCAAATTATATGAACGAAATTAAGATCCCAGCACCAATTAATCTACCTTTTGTACACGATACTTCATCAGTGGAAACTTTGGTAAATATGGTATTCCCAGATATGGAGACATTCAACAGTGATCTATCGTCAATTGTTAATAGAGCTATCTTGATGAGGCGGAATGATTTTGTGCATGAAATCAATGATATGCTAATCAACAAATTCCCAAGTCCACAAAAAACATATCTAAGTTTTGATGAAGCTCTTGATACATCGCACCAACTGGAGAACCAAGATTTTCTAAATACACTTACACCAAAAGGATTGCCTTCACATGAATTAAAATTGAAGAAGAACTGTCCTGTTATGTTAATCCAAAATATAAATCCAACTGAAGAGCTTTCAAATGGCACACGACTCATATGCAAAGAGTTCGAAAATAATGTCATTCAAGCAGATATTTCTTTTGCTGCATATACAGGTAAGTCAGTTTTCATACCTCGAATTTCTTTACAATGTTCAGATGATGAACTTTGCTCCGTCCTCTTTAAAAGAATTTAGTTCCCTTTAAGATTATGCTTCGCAATGACAATTAACAAAACACAAGGGCAAACATTAGATTATGTTGGCTTGTATCTAAAAGAACCTGTATTTTCACACGGCCAATTATATGTTGCATTATCATGAGGAAAAACAAAAAATAATGTGAAAGTACTTATTAGACGACTAACTTTTTTCTCTGCGCACACAAACTACACAAAAAATGTCGTATACAAAGAAATCTTGTCTATGATTGGTCTGCATTAAGTGTTACGCATTGCTTGTTGCTTTGAGAACAAAAAGTCTCCAAAATGTATAAAAAGGAGTTTTTCTTGATTAGTATTCATTTCTAGTTAAAATTGGCTTTTAAAATCTGTTTGTTGGGCACTGAGTACTTCTTGAATACTAGAGTCGCTTTGTGACTACATACCTTGTCATGGGAGACTGACAACTCATTCTCTACAAGCTGGTCAGCATAGAAACGTTACATTAAATCTTCTTCCTCATTTGATAACTATCACAATGTGTGTAGGGAATCTAGCAACTATGTAGACATAATGAAGTGGCATTGAAAAATATGCCCCTATTTTTAAGAGCGCAAATGTTGCTCAATCAGAAATGAATATGCACAAAAAGGAGAAAACTTTGAACAGAATGAACAGTTTCCAACTGAAGAATGATTTTAGACTACAATAATGTTTGCATCCTCGTATTAAGTCATGTCTGTGATTTGTCTATCCTGAGACAATGTAACTGTTCTTTTACCAGTTGTCCAGTTTAAGCATGTAGTAACTATTAAAGTTAAGTATATATCTTGATGCTCGAAAAATAACGTGTTAACCTATATCATTCACTTCTTGTTCTTAAAAAAAAAACTTATCCTGACCAATATGTTATTTGCTATCCTTCTTACGGGATCTTCATTCAGAGTATAGAGTTTGTAGTGCCATTCTGCATGCGAGCAAATCTTCTGCGCTCAACAACAACTGCTACAGAAACTTTACAATCAGTTGGAAGTAGACAGAGAGGCCTCTTCTTCTACTGCCAGTGAAGCTTCATCTACGATATGATGCCTACAAGGAAAAAATGCTACTGTGCAAATGAGCAAAAGTTAGGCTGAAATCCCATACTAGAAAAGCTACATTTCACTAGGCCCCTAAATAGGAGAAAATGTGCCAGCTAGCTCTAATTACTAAACAGGCCATCTATTTCGACTTCAGTGAGAAAACTATCCAGTTCTCGTCTCTCGCTCTGATCTGGTGTCGTCGTAACAAATGGAGATACTTGAACCCCTAAGCCCCACCTTTTAAACACCGAACCCTGCCTTCTCTTCTTGTTGGATTTAGGCCCCTTTCGAATCCGTAAATCTAAGGAGCTTGAGCTCGATGCGTCTGAACCTCGAACCATCAACCACTGGATGACCCTGTGGGAGTCGAACCCACTACATAGGTTTCTTCCTTGTTTTACCGACTAAGGAGCTCAAACCCCAACTTCAAAAGGTATTTTCAAGGACCTTGCTTTTGCCTTGTTAATGGATGAGTAAGAAAGAGATTGATCTTGCTGGTGTCAGGTGCAGATAGAATTGAATTAAGCAGCTTGACGTGACATGAGCGTGAAGGGGTGGGCCTCTACCCCTAACGTTAATAGCAGGGATCTGCCTCGGACAACTAAGTGAGCCGGACAATGAGGCCGAATGAAAGTAAGCCGCGTTATCGCACGATAGGTTGACCTTCAGCATTAGGATTTTGTAGCTCCATTCTCAAGATATCTGGCCCCTGGCCTGGTCGACTGCTTGACGAACCGGCTTGATTCTGATCTGTGAAATGAACTCGTGAGCTTTCCACTTGAAAGAATGAAAATGATGAGGTTGAGGCTTTCGCCCCGTGCTTACCAGAGCATCAACACATAGACAACAAACTCGCAGCGGGAAAGATAGGGTAAAAGTCCATGTGATAGATTCTCATCCTCCGTATCACTTGCTTTTAGGGCGACTTTGGACGCAACACTTCTCAATTAACATCAATAAGGTTTTTATCCCCTGAAGGATCTCAAACTAGATTCAGCTGAGAATAAGGCTTGGAAAAAGTCAACTGCCTCCTACGAAATATCAACCTCTAAATCAGCCATACACCCGAGATTCCTCCCCCTTTATAAAGGGGAAGCAGAGGAGGCAGGGGAAGCACAACCATCGGCCCTAGCTATTTCTGGATCGGAAGGGAATAAGCCATAGAAGGGCGGAGGGCTTTCTAGCACCTGCCTTGATGCTCGGAATGTCTTAAAACAGACTAGAAACTCAAATCTCTCTGGCACTGACTTAAGAGAAGGACGTAGGTCGTACAATAAACTCAAGGCTCAAACTCAACCACTCTTTCCTGCGTGCCGGGAAGTTCCATTCCTTACCCTAGAGAGCTGTTGAAGCTTCTTAAGAGAAGTTGCGCCTTCTGGGGGATCCTAATAACTGGACAGTGAGATGTTGAGAAGTTGGGACGAAAAACTTTCGCTGGAAGAATCTTGTGAGCTAGATGTTTAGCCTTATCTTCAAACTTTAATCGGTCATGTGATTTCCCACGCAGCATTTGGTAATAATTGTGAAGGAGGAAGAAAAATTTTAGAACTTCAACAAAAACAGGTCGACCATATTGTGATAGCTGAAATGTTATTATATATCCCTGGAATGAGATATGTTACTGGTTTCAATCTTTTCCTCCCAGTGTTTAGAAAACATATTCCCCTGTTCTACAAGAATGTGAAGACAATTCCAATGCGAGAGACATCAACACATATCTGGAGCAAATCAGACTGTTAAATGATCATGTTAAACGGATAGCAATAGTTGGCTCTGCACACTTACAAAGCTTACATAGGCCTCCTTCACCACTTTCATGATGTACCAATTACCACTCTTGCAAAGGTAATCTTCTTCCACTCGTTCAGTCTCTGTCTTCATCACTATAACTAAAAGTTGCAGGAATTTCCACTTCTCTATGTACTTTTTTTCCTTGACACGCCCCCACCAATTCAACCACAAAATAAGCTATATTACAAGTGTTCACATCCCTATGAATTCTCCCACATTATGCAGGTATGAAAACGTAACTCTGACGACTATATTGAACCTTTGCTTTCAAAAGAGGATAATTGCAGAACTTGTATTCTTGTGAAAGACTTCGTCCAAACTACTACTTTGTAAATGGTCATAGATCAGAACTACTTCTGATCCTTCACAGCACCATCCTCGAAGTTGAACAAAATTCTTGTGCCTTAATCAGCCAACCATTGTTGCAAATTTAGTTAGAAAAGAATTTCCAGTACGGTCAATCCCTGCTCGATCAAACCTCTTGATAACCACCTGAGGGTACGAGAGACCTCTAGATTCTTTCCCCGTCCCAGGTTTTCTTTGTTCTTTGCATTCTCCAGCGGCTTCGTCTGGTCTCACGATTTCAATTAGTTTAATGCAACATTTTCCTAGATTTCATCTATGACCTTTCTTTTAGTCAAAATATAGACAAACAGTTTTATGATGTACTGATATTATGAGCAATCAATGCTTCATTTTTAGCTCTGAACTAGCAATATGACCGCTTTCTTCCCAGTAAGGAGATCAAAGTTGTCGGGTTCTTGCTTCCAAAATTATTGATCGCTTTTTTCATAAATTTACATGAACAGTGTAATTCCAGTGTGACTTAATCTTTTGTAAAGTTTAAACCCATACATATTGTAAACAACCTATATTCTTATATGGTAACACAGTAGTGAAAAACTATGGTTGCTTTTGTTTACACATCTGACATTTTTTTCATCCAACGTCTTTAAAGAATCAGTTGATCTTCATTCTACATTAAATGCATATATCTATATACATACACTGGTACATCTATACGTCCTATACAAGATGACTTTCTAATTATCAAATGCAATCATAATAACAATTATCATTATTTAACCTACTGCATAAATATCAAATTTCAAGGCGAAACATGAAAGAAAAGATCGCTCTATCTCTCACTTAGATTCAGACTTCGCAGAAAAGCAAGAGAGCTTGTCATCTGTTAAGCAAAAAAGTAGAAATATTGCAAAATCTGATCACCAAGACAGCATAGAAATATTTATTTTTACATTAGAGAAGGCCGGATCCTCAGTTTTTGTATTAAAAAATCTGATCACTCTGTCTCTTGATTCAGTTAACGAATCTAATCACTGCAACAACAAAGAAACTTTTATTTTTACGTTGCATGAGGTTAAATATTCACTCTTCCCTCGGATTCTTAGGTCTATCTAGTGGCACATTAAATTCCTAATATTTTCTTGCGCTGCATTTAATTTTATTTTTAATCACTCAAAACTATGTCCTAGCTTACGTATAAAAGAGACTAATGCAGCTAAATATAGTTCAGACAATCAAGTACAAAGTAACTTCTCTATAAAACTTTGCAAAAAGGTATTCAAAGATATCCATAAAAGGCTTTGCGCAATTCAGACACGAAAGCACGAATATGCTTGTTGACCTGGCATCCATTTTGCAACCAATCCCACGCCTATCAGAAGTTTATACAACCTCTGAGAAACAAGCAAAAACCAATGCTAACTTCAACAAAGAGAATACCAGAGTCTACTATCAATCACTCTCATTGCTTTCAGAAGCTTCTCTTCAACGCACTAAAGACATAATTCAACTACCATCGAAGAAAACAGGTATATGATATAAACGAATAATAGTTAGAAGCATTACAAAACTCTGCTTTAGTCATACCTATAATACATCAGACATCTCACTTGCTCATATTACCAACACCTGTACTGCTACTTGCATGACGCATATAATTGATAAGCTACGTGTAACCTTCTCTTCCCACAGCACACAATTCTATAATTCCATCATTATGTCATTTTTTTTTCTATGCGGTGCACTCATGCATGAAGTAACCTTGCTATTATGTCTATGTATATATCAATATATATATATATATATATATATATATATATATATATATGCTTAACAGCATATTAGAAAACTACTATCCTATGTGAAGCCTCCCCCATATCCTTCAGTTCACGGCAGCCTTCTTTTTTACCTGTAAAGGTAAGTCTTTTATTCTTATTCCCTTATACTCTTACGTCTCCAACTTCCATTCTGTCAACTCTCATATAATTCCAATTTCCATCAATCTATCTTGCATCAGAAGCATATTTCAAGCTAATGCTTATATATAAAATATAAAAACATCTACCATAAACATTTGATTCCTCGTTATTTTCTTCACCTCACTGTCATTTATATGAAATTCTGCATAATATCTTCCAGACTTCAAAATAAGCAACTTACTGCAATCTGCTATTGACAAGCATTGCAAAAACACTTGCAATGACTACTGCCAGGTATCTTATGATTTTACAGTGCTTAAGTCTGTTATTTACTTGACCTATCTAGAAATCTACAAATTATAATATGCGATATTTTATCAGTTTTACTTTATATGAACCATGAAAATTTCAGATCAAACATAGAAACCAAGTGCGTTCTCATTCCCGACCGAACAGACGCGAACAGAAACTGGTTTGCAAAGCTTGTTATTATAGAAAAGAGCCCTATTCGTTATGGCAAAGACACTGGCACTCCATATCAGAAATATATCTTCGCAGATGCAGCAGTGAGTGCACATTCTCAAATTCTTACTACTACATACGATTTCCAGCAAGCATTTTTCTTGGCCCTACGAAATTATATTACAGTAAATCTAATTATTTTTTCTCATACAAGAAAAAAAACAGAATAACACAATTCAAGCTTCTGTGTATGATCGCGATATTGAAGATCTTGATCCAATCTTGCAATTGCATTCCACCTATTACATTGGAAATGCTTGGATAACAAAGATTGCCAGTCCATTCTTCATGGCTTCATCGGCCTATCAACTGGCAATATCAAAGAGAACCTTCATCCATGCTATTGCACCTGATAATACACTCTCTTGTGAACACTGCTACCAATTTGCACAATTTCGCGAGCTGCATGGCTTCATTGAAGATGACAATACAAGAATAAGCATGCCAACACAGCTCTCTTCACCTTACTTTCTAATTTTTACCTGTTAAACTTTATTGAACTGATGCAGCATATATGATTTTTCTTAGGTATCTTATGTGCCATCATCCATGCCTTACCTTCTCGCACTGTTCCCAGAGGCAACCGTTATGTTCCAATTCAGGAATTTGTTGTTCTTAATGAAGAGTAAGATGATGACTGTCATAGAAACATTTTTAACTAACACAAAAACTTTAAACTTTCTATAACTTCTTCATGCAACAGGGAAAAACCTTTATTATTCACCATGTGGGAAGAATTCCTCCCTTCTGAAGGTGCCCAATTAAAGAGCTTGATACCTCACCAGCCAATCATTATCATAGCAAGACCAAAGTTCAACACTCATCACAGTAAGACCTAGCTACTTTCAAATAGCACTACGATAAAACATTCTGTAGAAATTTCCGTGTTGCTAATAATTACACAATTTCTCAGCTATATCTATTGGGACTCTGGCAACTTCTATCATAATATTCAATCTAGAAATCCCCCAGGCTGCACTATTGAGGCAATGGTAAGATAAATATTCTCTACCTTTAACCTATTATTAGTACTATCCTAATATGCACTCTCTTACTAACAGGATTGCTGAAAATGCTACTTATATACGAAAGTTAATTCAAGAGAAACTCTATGACAAAGCTCATCAACAAGTCCATCCACCAATTGAATCGCAGCTATACTATTGACCCTACTGCTCAACAGGTCAATTTCCTAACCTCCATGTCTAAACTAAATTTAAAATTTACTTTTCCTAACTTTCATTACAAAAATATGCAAACAAAGCCCTTTTGGATCAAAGCAGAAATTCGTATCCGAAACACCAACTCGCGTTACTATTTCCTCAGTTGTCCCAATCCCACTTGTGTGAAGCCTATCGGTGCAGATATCGACACGGATTGCTGAAAATGCTACTTATATACGGAAGTTAATTCAAGAGAAACTCTATGACAAAGCTCATGAACAAGTCCATCCACCAATTGCATTGCAGCTACGAGAAATATATACTATTGACCCTACTGCTCAACAGGTCAATTTCCTAACCTCCATGTCTAAACTAAATTTAAAATTTACTTTTCCTAACTTTCATTACAAAAATATGCAAACAAAGCCCTTTTGGATCAAAGCAGAAATTCGTATCCGAAACACCAACTCGCGTTACTATTTCCTCAGTTGTCCCAATCCCACTTGTATGAAGCCTATCGGTGCAGATATCGACACGGATTTCACATGTTTCTTTTGCCGAATGACGTATCCGAGACCTCTCGCAAGGTATCAGCTATAAAACTTACACCTACATTCTTAACAAACAGTAATGAATCCTCCTTGTATATAAACTTCGGAGCTACGAACTAATCACATATTTATTACTAACAATTTCACCTATATCTACTTTGCAACTTTTAGATTGCGCTTTGAAACCCAGCTATGTGATGATACCGGTTTGCTAACAGCCACTATCGAAGATGACTATGCTGAATCAATTCTTCAGAGAGCATGAAGTCATACGCATGGAACAAGTAGAAGACTAGCTGGACATAGCCTGATAGGGTGTTAATTGTTAGTAATTTTATTGTTAATTTTCCTTTTTATCCTTGCCAAATATTGCTTTAATTTGCTTTAATTGTCAATATATATTTATATTTGGTATTTGGATATAATTTCAGAAATTGGAGCAGAAACCTCTTGAGAAGATTATTGTGAAACTTTGCACAATTTTGGTGCAAACCAACGTAGAAGAATGGAATTGCATTTGGGAATTCAATTTGGCTAGACAACATGTCAAAGTTGGTGGGGACCGCAAATAAGTTGTATTGTCTAAAGTGTGCTTTCTTTGCACATTTGTGGTTTTGCCTATGTTTTCAGAATCGGACCGGATAGCGACTCGGCCAAGGTCAGGGGTCAGGGGTCAATGGGTTCAACCGGGGGTCGATAGGGGTCGAACCGGATGACGTCATAAATAAAAATTATTTAAAAATTAAAATATTATATTTATAATATCTAATAATATATTGATATTAATAAAGGTATATTCATATATATTTGATGTTTCAAATATATTTAACAAGAAAATATAAAGAAATTAGAACAATTAAGTAGCAATTTATATTATTTAATAAATATTAACAAGTTTAGAATTAAAATTATGAGTTTAATTGAAAAATAACATCAAATTTTAGGAAAATATTTATAAAGTATCAAATATTTGAGGTATATCGATAAGTTTTAACAATTTAGAGGGTCAAAACATAATATTATAAAGTTTGAATTTTTTTTTAAAAAAAATTACTGTTGAACCGGAAAAACCGGTTTTTTCCGGTCAAACCCGGTTTTTGACCGGCTTTGACCGGGTTTTAAATTTCCGGTTTTTAAATAAGACTCGGACCGGTTACCTGGCCGGTTCCCGGTTCGACCGGCCGGTCCGGTCCGAGTTTCAAAACAGAGGGTTTTTGGTGAACGTGTGCACTTGGTCAAAAAGAAAACCGACAATTGCTTTTGTTTTGAGTGGAATGGAAATGATTGTGTAGAGAAATGATGACCTCTTTGAAGGACGTGGGGTGATGTCTCCATTTTGGCTGGTTTTTTATGTATGAAGAAATCGGACGAGCTTCAAGAGACATTAGACTAGTTTGAGTTTTCTCTCCAGAGAAGCTCCGTAGGAGGATAGAGGAGTTTTTAGTTTTCTCTCCGAGGGATGTTCCAGAGGAGAGAATAGGGAGTTGTTTTGGTTTGTTGAATTCTAGTGTGCAATTTTCTTATTCTCTTCCGAGAGCTTTGTTATTCACTCTCTCAATTATCGAAGAAAGATGATGTCTTTAAATTCAATTGAATTGTGTGAAGATTTTCTTATGAGGCGTGGCTAATTTTCTTCTCTAGTCAAGGATCAATGCGAAGACGCAGTCCCAATTATCTGTGAGATCTAATTAATTTTACGTGTTCCTTAATTTATTAATATTTGCATGTTTTCTATTTTAATTTCCATGGGATTATTTTGTTAATTGGATATCAAGGGCCCGATGTGCAATTTGACTTTTTAATCTCCTGTCAAATTAATCAATTAAATCCGTAATTGTTTAGTTGGTTAATATTAGTGACAACTAGTATTTTCACATACTAGGGGGACATGCAATCTGATTTAAATAACCCTCGTAGCGTGTTATTAATTTGGGTTAGGCTTTTCTAGTTTTTAATGCAATTAGGAAATTAATTCCTACGGTCGTACCTAGGAGTATTTCCTGGTTAGGGGTAATCAATGGTCGTACCTTGGTTATCAATAAATTAAGGAAAAGCTGGTCGTTAGAGCTTATCGGCGACTATAACTAGCCTGTTAATAAAATTAGGTGAACTTTCTTTGCATCAATGATCGGATGAATGGACTGTGTCTACGTAGTTGTATCCTTGACTAGAATTTATTTATTATTTATTTAATTGCCATTTACATTCGTATTAATTATTTATTTATTTTTGGTTAAATTGTTTGATTATTTTTAGTTAAATTGTTTAATTATTTATTTTTAGTTTTATCTGATAAAAATCCCCCGTGTCTCGAATTTAAAAAGAATCGAATTTTTCCCAGTCCCTGTGGATTCGACCCTGCTTACTACTATACACAGAAAATTTATTTTTCTTAAGCAGGTATTTATTATTGCACAGGCACGACACCTGTCATAGCCACCATCAATAACAGGCTACAAAACACTCACTACTATATCCAAGTTAGAAATACAACAAGGTCAGTCCAGTTCATACACAACCCTCGCCACAATATTGTAGCATGCCTCCCAATATTACCGCAACAATGCATTGCCAATCCGACCCATCTTTCTAATACTGAATCCGAGGCATCGGGATCTATAGCTATCTCGGCTTCAACTACTGATAACTACACCTCAACTTCACAACTAACAGTCACATCTGCAAGTGAAAGTACCAGTGAAGAAGAGAAAGGTCGGCTTCAGTCAAAACACCTCCTTGATCCAAGCTCGGAGATGACACCAAAGCGTCATAAGCCATGAATAACCTGTCTTGCTATCAAGAAAATAAATACTAATGTGATACCTTTTGTTTAGGTGGACCACATAATGTACAAAGATCAAGACTTTTGTTCAGATCCTGCGACTCAGACTACCACTGAAGAAGAAAATGTCCAGCTCCAGTCAAAGCGCCTCCCTTATCCAAGCTCGGAAGTTACGACGAAGCGTCGCAAAGTAGAAAAAATTTGCGCTGCCACCAAAAATACCAATACCAATGTAGTAACTTTTGTCTAAGTAAACTACCTTATGTACATAAATTAGGACTTTTGCTTAAAGAGCACAACTTTCGTACCTGATCAATGTAACAAACATCTCTGAGTAAATATGAAATGCACAGTAATGCTAAAGATAAATAGAATACAAGCCAGTATTATCTAATTTTTACACACACTTACTGCTCCTAACAGACTAAACCAAAAAAGCTATGAACACCAACAAGATAAATACGACAAAACAGCCATGACTCAACTTAGAATTATTTTACAACTCATTCCATTAAACTACGCCTAACTCCTTCAAGCAACCAAACTACACCAACTCAAAGCATTTTTACCAATAATTGCATAGCTATAATTCCAACAACAGCATTGGACCGGCAAAACATCTCGTACAATTTAACTACCCCCATCTCCTGGCATGGCTTCGTACCACTCGTGTAATTCACGAGCTCGTGAAATATCGACATTATACATAACAATGGTATGTTCCTGTGTAGCAAGTGACACCCCTGAAAACAAAGAAACAATTTAAAAAAAAATTATTCAACCCTAATCAAAAGCATGGAAAAAAAATAAAATAAACAATTCACCATAAAAACGACTAACTTTAGGCCTACAGATTAAAACAACTGGATGTTCATTCGCAATCTGAACAAGATGCATCCCTTCTGACTCGAGAAAATCCTCCCACATGGCAAATATCATTGGTCTCATCCTAAAAACAATAAAAATAATTATTACATGAACATAAAAAATGTTCCTAATACAAAAAAAAACTTACTAAAAAATGTTCTATAAATAAAACATACTCCTCATTTAGTATAATAAACTCTTGAACCCGTATATATCTTCCTCCGATAATAAATATTTGCAAGGGTAAGACTTCAAATCACAATAGCAAGAATTGCTACAACAAAAACGTAAATAGTTACAGAGCCATAATTGTTAAATGAAACATATATATATACATATACTCAATCAAACTCAAATAAATACCTAAGCTCGAATCTCCGAAATATCTCAAGGAACCCAGATTCGCAAACGGAGTAAAATTATATATATTATCAATTGGCAATCTCAGTGATGGATCAACCAACTGAATAAAGCTATATTGTGTAATCACTAACTCGAAGGCAACTGTTCCAAGAACTACTCAATTATTCGTTAATCTACGAACTGTCGTACTTCCTATATAATACGTAGAATATAATTGTAACACCTCATCTGACACCTGAACATCATTTAAATAGACAATCCCTTGAACCCGAATAACCCATGCATGGATATTATCATTTAATTGACTAATAGACACACGATTCATCTCCATAATAATACAAAAAAAAAAAAAAAATTACAAGCTTACGAACCACTACTCCAAAACTCCACGTTTTTATAGAACAAAACCTCCACTCTGATACACAAAAAAACACACAACATAATAGTTGTCGCACGACTACAACCCAAACTGCCAAGTGTCAACTTCAATGCAAATATATGGCACCCATGCATGCACAAACAACACCAATCCTGCCACCACACTCAGAAACCTGACACAGTTCGTCACATTTTGACAACGCAAATCTTTAACACCGAACTACCTGCTATCAATTAAATTAAATTAACACAAGTTGGGCGCGAGGCTTAAAAAACTAGTCAAATATAAATGACACTGCCCCACACGTCGCAATTTAGAAAATAACAACAAAATAAAACCAAATAAAATAAAATAAAGCCAACTCACCATACAAAATTTTGCTAGAACCTTAAATACGAAGAAGTGCAAAGTAGAAATTGTGGCAACTCCTCCGGAACAAGAGTGATACAGGTTTAAGAGGTATGGAGTCTCCGACAGTCCAATATGTGTCTCAATGTTTTATCAAACCAAAATACACTCCGGAAGAGTCAAAACAACCATTTTACTCGTCACCATGGGACGTAATGTTGGTCATTGCAAACTATATGCAGAGGGGCTTCGTTTTTGCAAAGCCTCCAGGATTTGACACCGATGATGAGAACCAACTTCAAGAACTTGTGCAGAAACTCAAGGAATCACTTTCTCTCACCCTTGTTCATTTCTATCCATTAGCAGGTCGTCTGGTAACGCAGAAAAAAAGATGAGAATCCTTCTGAATTGGCAATTTATATCGATTGCAATAAAAGCCCTGGGGGTCGATTTATTCTCGCATCATTGGACTTGACCATGGATGATGTACTTTCAACGACGTACGTTCCCCGAATTTTGAGATCATTGTTTGATCATGAGAGGTCAATCAACTATGATGGTCACACCGAGTCTTTGCTGACCATTCAAGTCACCGAGTTGATAGATGGATCTTCATTGGATGCTCCATGAACCATATGGTATCTCTCTGGCATTTCTAGCTTGACCTCATGGTCAGAGATATTCAAAGCGGAGGGAAAGACTAGTGTAATCTCAAGGCTCCCAGTACATGATCGACTGTTTCCCCGGGGACGACATAATCCGTTTCTCAGACTTCCATTGATTTATGACCATGATGATCAAGTCATCATCAATAGAGATGAAGCAGATATATTGCCAGCTGATATGATTAGGGAAAAAATATTTCATTTCTCATCTGAGACAGTGAGAAAGCTGAAAGCAAAAGTAAATGCTGAGCGGAATGCTACTGAGATTTCTTCCTTGCAGACAGTGTCCGCTCATCTTTGGAGATGCATAACAAGGGCTCGGAACTTCCCATCAGATCGAAAAACAAGCTTCGTTATGGTTGCAAATGCAAGATCAAAGTCAGTTCCACCAGTGCCTGAGGACTACTTCGGTAACTATCTGCGAGCAGCGATAGCAACAGCTGGCTGTGGTGAATTACTGGAACACGGCCTAGGATGGGCAGCATGGCTATTGCACCAGGAAGTGATCAATCAGATAGGTTACATAATATCACAAGAGCAGATGGAATCATGGCTGCAATCGGCAATCCTATCTGGTAGTGATGCTCCCGATCCCAGTAGATTACTCTTGGCAGGCTCTCCACGATTTAACGTGTACGGAATTGATTTTGGACTTGGGATTCCATTAGCAGTTCGAACCGGTCGTGCAGACAAATTCGATGGGAAAATGGTTGTGAGTCCAGGAGTTGAAGGAGGTGGAAGCATGGACTTTGAGATTTGCCTTCTACCACATATAATGACTTCTCTTGAATCAGACAAGGAGTTCATGGAGACAGTCTCTTAGCTTGTGAAGGCCAAGTTCGGAGTTACAGCTCCATATAACAGGATCAAGGTGGCTGCTTTAGCCTCTAGTGCCCATGAAATTGATTCCCTATGGCTTTTATGATATTTGTTCTTCGTTTTTTCTTTCGGTTAGCCTTGATTGCTTTTACTTTGGTTGATTGAATAAATCACATGCTTTTTATGACAATCCATAGCAGCTGGTTTGATGATACTCTAAATCACTTGCCATAGGCCAATTTTCCCCCACCGGGTGGAAATCCTAATGCTGATTTGCAGAGGGATTAAGTACTGTCCCTGCCCCCTTTTTGTCATTTTACTTGGTATTTCACTTCTCCCTTTGGACAACATATATACAAGCATGATTTTACAAAGAAAGCTATCCCTCCAGGGAATAAGGTAATTATAGTGCGAATTCATGTGAACAAGAACAATGTTAAGATTCAATTTGAAGACTTCCAACCAAATCAATTTTCTTTATACATAAAAGTTGAATAGATCATAAAAGTTTAGCAGCGCATAAGTTAACAACTTCAGGAGTGCGTTGTCCCTTTACACTTAAAAGAAAGACCAAATACAATAAACTAGTGAGTTTTTCATGTGTAACGAAGATTGAGAAACATTGACTGGAGATCGAATGCTAGCAGCTTCAGGGTTTAAGAGTTATTGCAAGCTATACAAGAAAAGAATTTGGAAACAAAAGAAGGAGATTTTGCTTGTTTCTCTGGTGGATCTGCTGGTAAAGAACAAATAGTAGATTCATCTGCTCCATTTTCCCTCAATCTCTCACATTCATCTAAGAATTTCTTGAAGGAATTATGAACATAATCCGCGGCTGTAGCGACAGTCATGTCTTCCACTAGTTTGTGCGGATAAGTGTCCTTTATGTGGTCTCCCCCTAAAACTGCTGACATCTGAACCAATTCTTTCTGGAAGTCCGTTAATTTAGCATCTTCTTTTGCTTCAGTCTCTCTTAATCTGACTGGTTCCGGCAAAGTTACTGCAGTACGCCATACGTATAACAACCGAAACTGAATCAGAACAAAGCTATATCTGGTTGAAGCATGGTGCATGAGAAAAGAGGTAGACGTGTAATCTTGTAAAATTAACTAGTTTACATGCAATGTAAAGGAATAGAAAGAACTGATACCTGGACAATCAGTTCTTGGAGTCTCTCTGCTGATCACAGACTCAAAAGTGCCAGCCCATGCGTCGCGCTTGGTAAGAAACTCTTTCAAGTTGAAGATTTTCTTAACAGTTGCCGGTATTGAGGAATGTTCGAACTCAGATGTAGGATATGGTCCTGAAGGCCCATGTAACACTGCAAAATGAAATCAATCAACCGATGGGTGAGTTCAAGTACCCATGAACAAGAAATAGCTACTATCATTAGTCCCTCATTATTTTGCCTGGTTGAGTGATCATATCTCTGTTTACTACTGCTACTCGAGATCAAGATTCAAACTCTTAACTTTCTTTCCTCCCCTAAGGTACCAAAAACGCACAGTTATAATCTTAAAGGTACATTCAAGAACAGTCAATCCAGGTGTATTACCCGTTCCTTTCTCAATCCAAGGGGATACCATAATGGAAGGAACCCGAACACCTAAGCGATCAAACTGAAATTTGTAAGGCTCAGGACCAACGATGTCATCTGGGCTTGGAACACCAGTGACCGGTGTTGGCACATGATCAAAGAAACCACCATGCTCATCATATATGATTATGAACAACATTTCATTCCACTGGGGACTTGATCTCAATGCTTCATAGACTTCTTTGACAAATTTTTGGCCCTCAAAGACATCATGAGAAGGATGATCATCATTCCCTGGCAATATCTTCAAGTCAAAATACCTTTGTTCAACTACTACATAGTTTGGTAGCTTTCCCTCTTTGCAATGCCTTTTAAAAGTGAGATCAAAGGGATGAAAGTTCTTTATGTACTTCAATTTTCGAAGATTCCTGCATTCAATAACACTGCTCTTTCAAGGCACATTGCAATGAAATAAACATTATCTAGCACGTATGAACCCAAAGCTACCTAGTCTTACATAGTCAACAGTCAAGAAAACTCAATATATCGGGGATCTAAACATAGGATGACAAAAAAGTGAACAATAAAACAACATTAGCAGTGCCAGCAGCTGTAATCATAACAAGCGTAACTTGTTTAAGGAGATAAATCCAGAAAAATTAACTTATCAAAACTCAAAAGGGCGAATACCATTTTTAGCTCAAACCTTGTTTCTTTTTCTAATTTGACAACATCCAGATTGTTCTGATAATTGCTACTGATGTATTTGACTAGCATTAATTGGCAATCTCATAATAAAATTATTACTCCAGTCAACTGGTTATCTCCAGAGTTGATCTAGGACCGCTTTTCGATCAATTTTAAAAACGAATGAATTACCTCCTTCTTCTTCTTCTTCTTCTTTTTTTTTTTTTTTTGAGGAAAATGATTAATATACTTCGATTAAGAATGTCCCAGATGAAGATGGGTTCTTGCAAGAAACTGTTTCATATTTAATTTTGTCTAATTATTGATTAAGAAAAACACAATCTTACTGTACCATAGATGGTACTTAATGTTGGTTATTACCAAAGAAAAAGACTGTGGTGGATTGATGTCATTGAACCAACAATTACTATACTCTGCACTCCTTGCCTTGTAATGCAACTTCTCAAACGAAATGTCTAATTTAACCTATTGAATGTATAATAGGTGGTATAGTTCTGACTATTGGCCATTGACTTACTTGTTAAACAAGATCTCATGACAACTTTACTTTATCACGAGAAAAGATCACAAATTGGGTTCAGTTTTCATACTAAGCAGGATGGATGGTGAATTCACATGTCAACACTGAGAAGAAAAAAATTAGTTTACATGAAAATGGCACAGTGAACCGTTAGTAAGAGAAGACCTGAGGAAAGCATTTGACTTTTAATTCTTTTCCTTAAATTACATTCCAATGGATGACTTTGGACAACAATCACTACTAGAACCTCATTAGTGTATTCCTTGACGCTATCAAATGCAATTTCACGATTTGTATAATCAGCAAAACGTAGAACCGAGACCTTTGTGACCAAAAAAAGAGGATGATGAAGTCATTGTAATTGCCAATTCAGTCGTAAACTAAAAATATACTGTAACACTTGAAGTAATCGACTGTACAAAACAAAAGAACAGAAAATGAGGGCATAAAAGTTCTCACTCGTCCTTCAATTCGTAACTATTTAATCCAAATAGAAGCTGGCTTTGTACCGTTAAATTAAAGATCATGCATTTTTAAATTCGTGTAATTAATAGGAGGACAGTGGATCCATCAAGAACAAAGAATCATTATAGTAATCAACCATGTGGTACTCTACTCAATTTTAAGTAGCTGGGCATCCAGCTGTAATTTGTACCTTACATAGTAATTACCACCTCTATTTCTTTAATTAAGAGATTTTTTCGAGGATGATTATTTGATTCCAAAACTAATTGAGAATCTCCAAAGTGGAGATCTCACACGTAAAAATTCGTGTATTTTGAAAATTAGCAATTGTAATGTTTACTCTAAAATTACATGAGTATTCTCCACACCCTTAGTTGTAGAACTACTATATATCCTCGCCAACCATTCAAACAAATTTCCAAAAATATATATTTTCATACAGAAATCATACTTGCTAGTTCCATTTTCGTATGTCAATAACATGGTAGAAGGACATAGGGAAAAAAATAGAGCGAAAAAGAAAAAAAGAAGAAAAAGAACACCTGTAGAAGAGTGTTGATGGAGGGTACTGATAGTATATTCCAAAGCTATGCCCGGCCTCATCCAATGATTCAAATATGGTTTTCTGAGGAAGCCCTTCAACCAATATCTTTGTATCATTACTGGTAAGACCATGAGACGTGGCTGAGTGCACAAACAACCGATTAGGCTGCGTGGAAGCCGGAACAGCTGCAAACCACCGATCACAAACAGCAAACTCCGACACCAACTCTTTATAAACCGGAACAGCTTCCGGTCTGAATCCATTCATCACTGTTTCAGACATGCCTTTTTCATTTCTCTCTGCATTTTGAGCAAATCCTTGCATGCTTGGCTCTAGTTTCTTGGACGCAACGTCTTGGCTCCATGGCACCCCAAAAATTTGCTCAAAAATGTCTTGGATTGAATGGCCGGGGTCTGGATCAACATATACTGATTTGTCACCGAAGAGAAGGAGGTTATTGGATGTTTGCGCGGTGGAGAGAGGGTTGGACTCAGTTCCGGTGGCACCATTGATTTCTGGATTAAGGGTTCTCATCCAACCTAGCATGTGATCAAATGAACGATTTTCTTGGACTAGTACTACAACTGTTTTGATGGGGTATGGATTTGGAGGTTCTGAACCCATTCTTGATGGTGTTCTTTCTCTGTTCCTATATTATGCTTTGATATTAGTTTTGGAAAGGGAGGGTAGGAAGGGAGTTCGAGTGTACAAGAAAGGAGGGATTCTTTGAGGTTCCAAAATGAAACTACCGAGTACCAACTAGCTAGTTCTTAGGCCAATTGGTTTTAAGTTGAATTTTAAATCTTTATACAGCTGTTTCTCAGGATTTTGTTAGGGATAGTGAGGCGTATCGAAACTTAAATGATAAGCAAACGAGGAGCTGAAGATATGAACTAGATTTTAAACTTTAAAAAATCTTTCTTACCTTGTGTGCTTTGGTTTTTTGTTTTTTTCCCTACTATAGAAGCAGATGGAAAAATCAAATCAGGCAGGAATAGATCAATTCATGTATTATTTGTTTTGTAGGGTAACTTGTATAGATCGTCATAGCGTAAAAAAAGTCCCCATATATACCAGAAATTTTCAGCTCATTTACCTGTATTTCCTTTTAATAAAAAAGGAATTTGTAACATATATGTAGCATAAAATTAGAGAATATTTTTTGTGTAGAAGAAAGTACTTAAGTAAACATAATCATGTATACTAGTTGCTTTAAGTAATTGTGTAGCATTTGCATTATTATTTGCACCTTCTAAAACATATAAACATATTATAAAGGATTCAAATCCTTTGCATATTATATCATGATTCAAAATTGAATGGTTAGAATTGGAATTTGTCGG